GGTATATCAGGTTTGATATATCTGACAGAATACAACATGATGTGTAATATAGAAACCCCAAACGAACAAACTTGGTATCCTATAGCTCTAACTTGGAGGAGGCTGTCAAATGCTGCCCCAAAGTTATCCACAATACATGGCAATTAGAAATATTAAATACTTCAATTACTGATGCTATGACTAGAGCATATTTGGCCAGTAATGAAGCCAAAAAAACTACAACCAACAGGAAAGTGTCCTGGTGGAATGATAGTCTAACAAAGCAAAGAACACTTATGAGGAGACTGTTCAATGCTTCTAAAAAAAATCTGGCAATTGGGATACCTATAGGAAATCTCTTACTGAGTATCACAAATCTGTCAGGAAAGCCAAAAGACAAGCCTGGAAAAGGTTTTGTCTGGAGGTGGACAACATGCCGGCGGTATGTAAGGTAAACAAAATACTGTCAAAACAAACCAACACAGGTATAATGGGAACACTCAAATATGACGATAAGCACACCACGAATGAGATGGAAACATTGAGTGTGGTAGCAAAAGCTCATTTCCCCAATTGTTTTACGACAGTAAATGAACTTCTTGACCCCAATACACAGGATCGTGGTACTGGTGCACGTATGTGGGGTCTGGCAAGAAGAGTGATAACAAACAGTAGACTTAAATGGGCAGTGAATTCATTCTCTCCTTTCAAATCTGCTGGAACGGACGAGATCTTTCCAGCACTGCTGCAGAAGGGTCTCCCAGAGATAAGGCCATACCTTCTGGAACTTCTAAGAGGTAGCCTAGCACTGGGATATCTACCATGTAAATGGAGGATATCCAAAGTGCGATACATTCCTAAACCAGGAAAGGAATCTTATGAAGACCCCAAGGCATTTAGGCCAATATGTCTGTCATCTTTCTTAATGAACACATTGGAAAAGATACTGGACGGACATATTAGGGAACACATATTGGCTACTAGTCCAATACATTCAAAGCAATATGCCTACTAACCAGGAAAATCTTGTGAGGTGGCGCTTCACAACTTGGTAACAAGAATTGAGAAATCCTTAGAACAGAGTGAAATCATGATAGGCGTCTTCGTTGATATCGAGGGTGCCTTTGATAGAACTCCCTATAACATCATAAATGATGTGCTAAGGAAAAAAGATATAGACGCTATGACCTCCAGATGGATTGGGAGAATGCTGGAGGACAGAGTTCTAAAATCAGAAATAGGGCACAAGGAACTGTGGATTAAACCCTGTGGTGGATGTCCACAGGGAGGTGTGCTCTCTCCGCTACTGTGGTGTTTTGTGGCTGACTCATTATTGGAAGCCTTAAACACTGCAGGCATTTATGCTCAGGGATATGCTGACAATATTGCCATCCTCATAGGAGGGAGGCATCAGAGTGTCCTCTCTGATATCCTCAGTACAGTGTTTAATATTCTTAGGAATTGGTGCAGGATTAAAGGACTAAGCATCAACCCTAGGAAAATCAATGTGTGTATCTTCACTAAGAAGAAGAAGGTGGCTATAAAAATGCCGGAAATCAATGGTATCCAAGTGACATTGAGTAAGGAAGTAAAACACCTTGGAGTCACTTTGGACCATAAACTGACATGGACAAAACACGTTCAAAACGTGACAAGTAAAGCCCTCAAATGCCTATGGGCCTGTAAAAGAGCGATAGGAAAGAATTGGGGACTAAAACCAAAAATGGTATACTGGCTGTACACAACGACAGTCAGACCTATCATACTTTACTCAGCTTTGCTATGGTGGCACAAAGCAAAGACTGTAGCCAACTTATCCTTATTAGGAAAGACTCAAAGGCTTGCTTGTATAATGATAACAGGCGCAATGAGCACGACACCGACGGCTGCTATGGAGGTGATGCTGGGCATGCCTCCGCTGCAGCTGGAGGTGGAGGCTCGGGCAACAATTACACTGTACAGGATAAGCAAGTCAACTTACTGTTCAACAGTCCCCTGTCAGGGAGGACACACAATACTGCTGAACAGGATTGGACGTGAAGGAGTACTAGCTATGCACTCTGACACTCTAATCCGAGAATATCAGGACCGAAAATATAAGGTTGAGATAGATAGCAGCAGAAGTCATAAACCAAATAGTGGAATAAATTGCTATACAGATGGCTCTCTAACAGCCTTCGGCTCTGGAGCAGGCATCTATCGCAAAGATATAAAAGAAAAAATTTCTATACCACTTGGCAGGTATGCTTCAGTGTTTCAATCCGAGATACTGGAAATCTGCCGCTGTGTACAAAACCTACTGCAAACCAATGTGACTGAGAAAAAGATTACCATCTATACTGACAGTCAGGCAGCAATAGGTGATCTCGACAATTATTATGTTTATTCAAAGGTCGTTAAGGAATGCAATAGAGCACTTAACGAGCTAACTGAGCACAACAGAGTTGCAGTGGAGTGGGTGCCAGGTCACTCTGGCATACCAGGCAACGAGATGGCTGATGAGCAAGCCAGGTTGGGCTCAGATACCATTCCTATAACTCCCGAGCCTGTCTGTGGAATCAGCCTCAGCACTGCCAAGGGCAGGATCAGGGAGATCTATGGGAACAAATTTAGCAATTACTGGAACGACAAGAAACAGAGACATTCGAAGTTGTTCCTTGAAGGCCCATGTAAAAAAAGAAGTAAACAGCTACTGAACATGGACAGAGCAGCTCTTAAAAAACTTACAGCGATCTATACAGGTCACTGTAAGTTAAATAATCATATGTTCAATCTCTGAGTAATGACGAATCCGCTATGCAGATTCTGTCAGGAGGAGAATGAAACAGCTTTTCACATCATATGCAGATGTGACAGGTTTATAAGGCTGAGACTGGTGGTATTTGGGGATGAACAGATGGATCTCCCCAGAAGATTTGAGTCGGTCAATCCAACCAGCCTACTTAGATACGCGGAAGCGACAGGACTAACGTTTTAAACAAAACGACTTAGTGAGTATTGGCGCACAATGGACCCAAAGGGGTCGACGTGCTTAAAGCCAACATTAAAAAAAAAAAAAAAAAAAAAAAAAACACTTAAAGAAATTGAAATGCGGTGGCCTAATCTTAAAATGGAGGTCGTTTTCAAAATCTACGGCTCCGGAAACATAATAATACATCCTCATATGAAAAAAATCGGAAAAACTCAAAGAAATCGAAACAGGGTGGCCTAATCTTAAAATGGACGTCCTTTTCAAAATCTACGGCTCCGGAAACATAACAGTAGACCTTTATATTGGATAAATTCTAAAAACTTAAATAAATCAAAACACAGTGGTGTAAACATAAAATGGATGTCATTTTCAAAATTTACTGATCGGGAAACATAAAAATACACCCTTATATCGAATAAGTCAAAAAAACTTAAATAATTCGAAACGCAGTCACGTAATCTGAAAAAGGAGGTTATTTTCAAAAACTACTCATATGATAACAGACCCCACACATCTAAAAATTAAAGATAATTAAATAAATAAAAAAAGATTGAATTTGAAATGGAAAAGGTTTAATTTGAAATGGAAAAGGTTGAATTTGACTTGGAAAAAGTTTAATTTGATTTGGAAAAGGTTGAATTTGACTTGGAAAAGGTTGAAATTGACTTGGAAATGCTATATATCTGAGGCTCAAAAGCCCACATTTCTGTCCTTGTTAATTATTCTAAAGGGATTCGTTACAAAATAAATAAAAGATTATTATTATTATTATTATTACTAAACTGAGTTAAGGTGGCTTTTCCCCTCCTTTGGAAGACAATATTTCCTAGGTACGTTCCTCTATCAAATCATCAACAATCATAGTCCTTCTTACATCTACAACCTTTTCCAATTAATTCAAATCCTCAGCCCATTCCCTTTCCACAAGATTAAGACCTTCTAACTTTTACATGCCTTCTCACAGATCTGTCTCATTCCAAAACTCCTTTATCTCTCGCTCTGTCTATCCCTCCCAATCAAAATTCGACATTCCTCCTCCATATCCACATTCAAAACCCTCCTATTCCAATTCCTATCCCCAAAACAGTCAGATAGTTGCTAATAATTCAACAACATACCATTCATTTCATGCCATTCATTATCTAATATCAATGCTGTTCTTTACCCGGCAGTACTCCTGAATATAGAAGGGTATATCCCTTGTGTAGCTGAATTTTTCCTGACCCTTTCTTTCTGATTTCAGTTACTCCAAGGATATCGATTTTGTAGGTCACCATCTCCTCCACAATCTCAACCCCTTTGCCATTGAGGGACCGTATACTCCATATTAAAGAAATATCTCCATATTTCCGTAAATGTCCACATCCGAGGCTGGTCAAAGAATTGCTTTGAATCACTATTACTCCTCTACGGGTGATTGGCTCAGCAAAGGAGGCCCTGTTACCTCGTGACAACTGGTTGCCAGTTATGCTCCCGGCATTGAGTCTTCTCAGGAGAGGTGATCCTGGGGTGTGTTCTGTTAGTGTCCTTATTGTCAGTGTATATGTATAGTGTACTGCTCTACAGTGTGAAAGTGTGTTGTGTACTTAACTCAGGAGACCGGGGGATTGTTAATCCTCACTAGTAGAACACATCTACTAGCCCTTGCAGATGCAAAATATAGACGCTTGTAAAAAAATTAAGACATTGAAACTGAATCTGGTGTGATGAGAAGTGGAGATAAAAAAAAAAAGAAAATTAAAAAATTCATATTTTAAGATATCAGTCAATAACTGAAGGTAGTGTTGAGCAGGGCATGTCAACAAGAACTTAACTAAAAGATGGCTGGTTTTAAAATGTGCCCATTGTATTCTCCCGATAAGATATATTCTCATTATAAAAATATTTGTTATTATTGTCATCTTTACTTTTATTATTAGCCAACTTTTCATTAAAATTCTAATTGTTCTTTAATAAAAAAAAAATCCAGAAGTTATTAATGGAACAATAATTCCAGCAGTAATCTACAGATCATACAGTTAAATATATAAAATATTTAATTTATATTTACGAGCAGGGGTGCTATAGTCACCCTCTTCATCTAAGATTTCAGCATAATCCTCAGAAACAACACTTCTTGTCTTTATTTCTTTATCACTTCCACTACACTCCTCTGAAAAAACAAAAAATAATTCTGAACTTAATAAATGTTATTTTAAAAATAATTAACTTTTAGAATTTGTTCAAAACTAAGATTCATAAATTAATCACTTTTTTAGACAATACTATCAATTTTAAGATTGCACAATTGCTTATTGATTATTTGAACTTTTTGGATTACTGTAATATTTCAGTCCATTATTATGTTAATAAATACCTAGTCCTGTCATAAATATTGTTACAAGAAAATATATACAGATTTCAATAGAAAATAAATTTTTTCAAAAACTTTTACAAAAACATATTTGAAATATATATAATATATATTAATATACATCAAAAATACACTTAGTGACTTTTTTCAATAAACCAATGATATAATCTACAATTATATAATATATAATTTAATAACATATATATGAATCACACCGTTATTCTTACCGACTAATAATAAATTATAAAAAACAATTGATACTTAAAAAATGGTGGTTACCTTTGGCCTGGCAAGGGCAAGGAAACCTTCTCCATATGGTAGCTTGAAAAAGTTAGGAATAAAATAAAGTATACAACTTTTTTTAATGAATTAAAGACTATTGATTATGAATTGAAAATACAACTAAAGCTACGTTTAAAGGCACGTTAATAAACTTTTTCTTTAACATGTTAAATGCGAATGAAAAAAATACATAAGTGCTTCACAGAGTCAATTGAGCTTATATTCTTTCCATCCTCAAAACATAGAAATAGAAAAAACAACTTTGTTCTGGCCAGATGACATTCTGGAAATGATTAATTTAGGAAAAATCATGTGTCATTCCACTGGTATTAACTACTACACCACAGCAGCAGACCAATGGCTGATTCATTCAAAAGTTCATAAATCTCATCTCAATTTGCACATTAATATTTTTTTTGTGTAATCAGGTCACATTATACTTTGTTTGAATTTAATTTTTTTTGGCAATCTTATTTATTTGAATGTAAAATCCTAAGTATTGATGTGAATACATATGTGAGTAAGAATTTACCAGAGTATGGGAAATCTTAATGGGATGGAAATATTAAAGGGAACCACTATAAAATATAATTTTTATAATTATATACTCTTATATTATATATACTCTACAATCAGATATATTAGATTAATAAATCTAATTATAGAGATTTGGTGGGGTAATCTCAAATCAATTCCTCTGAATATTGTAGCAAAATTGTAGATTAGATTTTGGTACGCAATCTGTTCCAGTCTTGTTTCCTTTGTTTATGTGAATAATTTGTATTTAATTTATTATTGAAGGAAGTTAGTCGAATGTTCTACATATCATGGGTGATAAATATTCAGGACCCAGTCATTATAAGGTTTTCATTAGTGCCAACATTTCAACCTAAACAGTCATTATATAAACAGTCATTATAAGGTTTTTATTAGTACCAACGTTTCAACCCAAACATGTGGGTCATCATCAGGGTGTGGTTCGAGCATTGAAGATATTCAAGTACTAACTCATTTGGTAGGTAAGTGTGTTTACACTACATTACTACAACTTTGGTAGGCAAGTGTAGTGTAAACACACTTGCCTAACAAATGTGTTAGTACTTAAATATCTTCAGTGCTCGAACCACGTCCTGATGACCCACATGTTTGGGTTGAAACGTTGGTACTAATAAAAACCTTATAATGACTGTGTCCTGAATATTTATTACCCATAATTTGGATTTAACATTAATAAATAATAGTATTTAATATTAATATTTTTAAAAAAAATGTCTTATCTTTATTGTTGTTGTTTATGTGTTCTGTTGACAATTTAAGATTTTATATTAATGTTAATAATTGGCATTATTTTAACTGTCTGATTTTTTTACGAAATATGATTTGTGAGTTGTCCTTGATGTGAGTTGATGGAAGCCTAAAAAAAAAAACTTTTAAACTTAACTTTTTACCATAAAAAAATTATCAGAACTCTTAATTAAAATTAATGTTTTTTAAAAAAATAAGTTATCAACTGGGAGAATCCAACTTTTATCTTAATAACAAACATCTGTGTCCAAATATTAGGATTGAACATAAAAAGATTGAATATTTCGGTAACAGAACACACACTGACATTGGGTTAAGTGTCCAAGGGCATTCAATATAATTTTAATTTTCACCTGATTAACTATTTATTTATTTTTTGGCCGTCTAGCACAGGGTGTCAGTGATTCTCCTCCAAATAATTCCCATAGACTTTCTGGTTTTTCAAGATTTTTCCTGTTTTTTTTTCCCCCAGATTTTTACAGGTTTTTCTATTTTTCCCCGGTAAATTCCTCTGTTTCATATAAAAAAATAATAAGTACAGCTGCCTATACTGTAATTTAAGCTCTTATTGCAACCTATACTCATGTTATACTTTTATTTTATTTTATGAAAAGTATATTCGAGTACAGGTCTGCACATATATAAGGTAGTTCTGTATATCTAATATATAAATTTATTATTATTGTTTTTTAAAGGGAGTCCTTTTATATCAAATGGGTTTCGTATTTAAATTGAGATTTTTTTTTTCGTGCGGGGAGGGCAGGTGATTAATGTTGAAATTTAAAGACCCTACAGCACTGGAAAGGCAACTCACAATTATTATATCTCATAAACTTCTGATTATCCGATAGTTGGGCAACGCGTGTTTTGCACACACGTAAGCCCGCTTGCCCACCCTGCCCCATATTTAAATTTAGTTGCAATTTGAGAAGTGAATTTTGATACTAACTATTTTTGTATATTTTAATGCTTTAATCACTTGTATGGCCCCTCTAAATTAATTTATTGAGTTAGGATTTTGTAAATTGAGTTGATGTGAGAAAAGCTCCTTCTAAGCTCTCAACTTTTTCTCCCACCTTCCTCAACGTCCCGACATTTCAATAAATTAAATTTAGAACCAGATAATAAAATGTTAAAAAACAACAAAAGAAAGATATTCATTAGCTTAAATGATTTAAAAATTATATTTATATCCTCACGTATGTATTAATGCACCATATATTTTCAAAATAAAAATAAGGCAAAATGTGACCTGAATTATGCTGATCTGCAGTGCACCTCTATTTATATTTAAAATGTCAATAAAAGAAATAACTCACGACATATTAACTTGCCACAGCACATTCGAATCTTAATAAGGAAAAACGCAGAGCAAGATCGAAGTGGCACAGGACTAGATATCCTTCAGATAAAACATAATATACCGAATTGACTAATAAACTAAAAGCAGAAATTAGAAAATTTAAAGCTCAAAAATTACTTAACCTAACTGAAAAACTTACAACCACTGACAAATCACTATGGATGACCAACAAAAAACTTCTCAAGTTTCAAGACTTTAATCACCCACTACTTACTGATTCCCAAATCTGATGAAGAAAAAGCCCAAATATTTGGTCAACATCTCTTCCAAACTCTTAACCCACATCCCGATATCCTTAATTCAACTCACATCAATGTATTGAAGCAGAACTGGATATTCCTCTCCAAATGTCTCTTCCACACAAAGCATTTCATCCCACAGAAATATCCAGCATCATTAAAAAATTACCCTCCCGTAAAGCTCCTGGACATGAGCTAATTACATCCCAGATCTTAAAACTTCTTCCTCGAAAAGCCATCCTATTTCTCACTTACATATATAATGCTGTACTCCATTCCACAAATTTTCCTGATCCTTGAAAACAATCTATTGTTAAAATGATCCACAAACCCAAAAAACTGCCAGAATACCCATCCTCTTACCGTCCTATCTCTCTTTTACCCATCATGGGCAAAATCCTAAAAAAAATCATCTTAAAACGCCTGTACCCTATCCTAAATTCTAAACACATAATCCCAGATCACCAATTTGGTTTCCGCACTTCCCATTCCACTATACAGCAATGTCATCGTATGGTAGACGTAGTCTCCTCTGCATTGGAGCGCGGAATGTACTGTACAAACGCCTGTTCAACGTCGAGAAAAACTGCCTTTCTCGACGTTGAACAGGCGTTTGATAGAGTTTGGCATCCGGGACTGCTGTACAAACTCCTGACATCCCTACCTATCCGAACACTGTCATCACCACATATGCCGATGACATGTATCCTATCAGTAAATAATGACCCATCAATTGCATCCCAAATACTTCAATCACACATCATAAATCTTGAAGAATGGTGTCAAAACTGGAGAATTATAATAAACTCCAATAAATCCCACCAAATTACCTTTAACCTTCGTCGTAAACCAATGACTTACTGTCCTAGTTTCCTTTAACAATAATTCACTTATCGCTGTTGAGCAAATCCGCTACCTAGGAATCCACCTGGACAAACGACTAACTTGGAATCCTCATACTAGACTGAAACGACAAGAAACCGCTCGACATTTCTGATTACTTCAGCACTTACTGGATAAACGCTCTAAACTTCCAATTAATTACAAAAGACTCATATACATGACTATATTAAGGCCTATTTGGACATACGGAGTTGAGCTATGGGGCTCCACTAAACCATCGAATTCCTCTCGTATCCAATCTTTACAATCCAAAATCCTTCGTAAAATCCTCTATGCTCTTTACTTTGTTACAAATAAAACCATCCATAATGACTTTAATGTTTCTTTTGTTTCAGATCTGGCCCAATCCAGATACCTATCCTTCCATAATAAACTTCAGAATCATCCCAACCCTCTCGTTTCTAACCTTGCTTCCTCTTAAATTCCAGATAACTCTCTGAGGCGTCTGAAAAGAAGATGGCTCCATGATCTCCTAATGTAGACATATCATTAGAGTGCTACCATTGGGTAGTTACTCAGCAAGTGTTTTCATGTCATTATATCCATATGTTCAAATTTACTAGATGGATGTATTTATTTAATACAGTTGTGAATATCATTAAGAAATAATAAAAAAAAAATAAAAAAATTCACTGTTAAAAATCATGTTTATACCATTAATCCCACAAAAATCTGTACGATATGTAACTTAAAAATCTATGAAACTTTCGAAACGCTATCACTTAATAGCAGAATGGTCAATCTATTTATCAATCAGGAACTACCATATTCCATATATAAACAAGTTTACAGAAAATCAATTTCCCACAACGCCAAATATACAATACCAAATAAAAATAAAACAAATGTATTATTATATAACAATTTTTTCAAAACTTTTCTTCTTCTTTTATTGAGTATTTATACAGTCTGCCACACTGAAGGACATTGGTACTAGGGCTAAAGTATTCATTCACACAATATGTACATAAGATATGTACACAATATATGTATATAACAAAGGAAAATAAATATAAATAACCAAAATTTTCAAAACTAAGGTCATTCATCATTAAAAAATGAGATATGATTTATTTATTATGATTTATAACGTACAATAAGTAATGATAGTAGTTAACACGGATATATTTTTAGACTAACAGACCTCCTAAGCTATCGCAAATGCCAAAAAATAACATGCAAACCATATTACACGCAAAGATTATATTTATATCTATTTAATATTTATTGTAAATATAAAAATATTTGATTAATGCTAATATATTTAAACAGTTTAATTAATTTAACAACTGTAAATAAGAATTATGGTTGATTTATATAATATAAAAATAAAGGTATGTGCAATATTCATGGTTATCAGAGACAATTAAACTGAATTGTGAATTAACATTAATGCAGCACAGCATAATGTAACCTTTCATCACAAAACCTTTTATCACACTGCATGTTTTCAAATACTTTTCGTTTACTTCAATTTTGTGCCATTAACTCTACTAAAACAAACCTCTGTTCATAAAATATCTGATCAGTTCAAAATATTGTTAAGTTATATTACTACATTTATTTATGTATGCATACCTTGTTAACAAGATTAAAATTTATTATTTGTAACCGACAAGAGCAGGTATATTGCAATATTGTGATCCTATTGCTCACCTGCATTCATTAATATATCTCTAAGCTATGTATATACTTGTTTTGTTACTTATGTTTCAGTTATTCTTTTATGTATTACATCTTTTGGCCAGATGCAGTACTAATTTGTACGAACAATATTGTTATTTTTATGGGAAGCTGTCTCAGAATAAAGTTGATATTTCTATCTATATACAGTAAAATAAAATAAAAAATAATAACAATGTTTAAGGTAAATAAACAAACAAATCAGAATGGATTAAATTTTTGTCTAGAACCTTATTGAAGTTTTCAACGGCTCCATAAAACACAGAAATTCCATTAATACAGGCCTTTATTTTATTTCTATTGACTAACAGAGATAACAATGAGGGCAAACACCATAAAGAAATGAAGAGTATTAAAAAAAAACAACCACAAAAAACAAGTTATCGAGAGATTTGAGGTTCAAGTTATCAAGAGTCTACTCTATTATAATTGCTTCTATTATTAATTTTATTATCTATTACATTAAATGTCATACTTTTTTGTTTCTATGTGGTGCAAATAAAGGAAATACCTGCTCTATTCCATATCGATAATGTTGTCTTTGCTTGGAGGCGATGATAACCATCAACAAGGTCAGCAAGTGATTCAGCCTCAGCTAGACTAGAACATGTTATAGTTAGTGCCTCTGTAGCCCCAGCTATTTTTAGCCTGAGCATAGCCTTCCTATGCTCTGAGCAATCCGTGTACAATGTCTGTAGGCTGACAATGTCCTTAAACTGTGCCATCTTTGTAGGCTGTAAGAGAAAAGAAAAACATTAATAACAACTTATTCTTATACTAATACAGTTGTATTTAGAAAAAAAAAGCATTTTGATGCATAGATAGCATCTCGAAATATCATGAGGGCAATCAACCCAAAAATAAAACTTAAAAATCAACTCATGACTAGGAAAATAAAAATAAAAACTTTGTTATGGTGTTCAGTCAAAAAGTAACAAAGTAAAAATAAATATAACTAGGGGGGTACCAGCTGTATGCCTAATGGCGGATCTACCTCCATTTTACTAATTATACAACTGTTCATTTAATTGTAATACTTGCGGCTCAAACTGTAATTTACAAGTTTTCTGTAGTTCAGATTGTATTCTTTTTTATCAAAATAAAATAAATGGAACAAAAATACAGCGTAGAAGAGAGCCTGAGAATGAATCTCATATCATGACAACACTGACTAGGGGTAACACTGCCCAGGTGGGAAAACCGCAGAGAGATAACAGTAAGGTAGAGGTAACATAGATGATAAACGCAGTATTTATTTGTAAATACTGTACATTGTGTTAGCCTGCTATTATTGTAAATATTGAGTATAGTGTGGGATTTAAATGTTTGTTGTTGTAAATGGTTTGTTTATATTCCTTGAATAATGTTAAATTTATTCTTATATATTTCTTTAATAATCCTTGGAAAATCCTCGGACCTGCTCAAAAAACCTGTCAGAATCCAAGAAACGTCAGTCTCCATCAGTAAGAAGCAGCCTTAATGTCAGGTGCCTCAAACCTCTCAATTCAGGCCAAAACCTCTAATACTCAACCTCAACATCCTAGTAAGCAAATCCCTCCTCATTATCTACCCTTAAGGGTCAAACTCCAGCCAGAGTATCCACCCCAGCTCCATTCGTTCCTACTCCCAAGATGAACCTCCTATCATAAGTCCAACATAATTTAGATCCTACTCCTTGTAACCCACGTCGGGCCCATCTTCCACCCAAATCCACTTCCCAACCAAATATCAACCGACATTAATTCTATTCTATTATCATTCCTGATAAATCTTCAACAGACTATCAAGCTGCTTATAACCCTTCTCACAAGACTCCTTTCCAAAATCCCGTTTAACTTCCCTCGATGAATATAAAGCTCCAAGCTATTCTCTTATGGAACGCTAATGGACTACAAAACCACTGTAACGAACTAAACATATTTCTCCATGACAATTATATTGACATTGCCATCCTTACAAAAACTCAATTCATTCAACGGACACATTTCTACATACGTGACTTCATCACCTATAGATCTGACCATTCAGACAACACTTCCCACACCTGTTCTTGCATCCTTATACACAAATCTTTACCCCATTCTCTTATTCCTTCTATTCCAACAGATGTCATTCAATCAACTTCTATAATCTTTTCAACTCATCCTTTCCATCTAACACTTTCAGCTGTATACTGTTATGGTAATTCTCTCTCTTACAGCCTACTTGAATCCTTATAATAATCCCTCGGAGAGCACTTTATTGCTGGAGGAGACTACAATGCTAAACACTAACAATAGGCTTATCGAACATCCAACTCCCACGTTAACATCCTATCACGTATCTCTTCTTCCAACAGTTATTCAATCCTCTCGTCCATGAATCCTACATATTGGCCAACATCTCCGAAAAAACGCCCCAATATCCTGGATATATTTATCACCTCCCAGATTTCCTCCACCCAAGCCATTATCAAATCTCTGGATGATCTTTCTTCAGATCATAGTTCAGTTCTGCTTTTACTATATTCAAGCTTTGATCCTAAACTGATTACAGGACGAGTAGACTGTTACAAATTTCATGATGATCTGAAAAATAAACTGGATTTAAAAATTCTGCTTAAGACAAAACAAGATATTGATAAAGCCATAGAAAACTTATTACATCTATAACGAGTATAAATAATAACACATTTGTTTATAAAAGCAATAATTCACAACATATTAACTTGTCACAACATATTCAAATCTTATTCAGGGATAAACACAGAGCAAGATCAAAATGGCACAGGACTAGATATCCTTCAGACAAAACGTACCATACCGAATTGACTAACAAATTCCCATCACGAGAAAAATCCTGGAAAACTTATCTTAAAACACCTGTAACTCATCCTAAATTCTAATCACATAATCTCAAATCACCAATTTGGATTCCGCTCCTCCCATTCCACTATACAGCAATGTCATCCTGTGATAGAAGTAGTCTCCTCTGCATTGGAGCATGGAATGTACTGTATGGGAGTCTTTCTCGACGTTGAATAGGCGTTTGATAGAGTTTGGCACCTGGGACTGCTGTACAAACTCCAAAAATTCCTACCATCTACATACTTCCTCATTATCCGTTCCTACCTTACTGATAGATACTTTAAAGTAAATCACAACAATGCCTATACATCCCACTTTTCCAAGTCCGCAGGCATTCCTCAAGGCAGTATCCTAGGTGCTATCCTTCACACAGTCTATACAACTGACATCCCAACCCATCCCAACACTGTCATCACCACGTATGCAGATGACATATGTACCTTATCAGTTAATAACTACCCATCAATTGCATGCCAAACTTTTAATCACACCTCACAAACCTTGAAGAATGGTGTCAAAACTGGAGAATTATAATAAATTTTAATAAATCCCATCAAATCACTTTTACCCTTTGTCGTAAACTAATGACATCCCTTCCTTCAATATCCTTCAACAATACCTCGCTTATTCCTGTTGAACAAATCCATTACCTAGGACTACAAATGGACAAACATCTAACTTGGAATCCTCATACCAGACTGAAACGACAAGAAACCGCTCAACATTTCTGACTACTTCCACACTTACTAGGACAAACGCTCTAAACTTTCAATTCATTACAAAAGACTCATATACATGACTATAATAAGGCCTATTTGGACTTACGGAGTTGAGCTATGGGGCTCCACCAAACCTTCAAATTCCTCTCGTATCCAATCCTTTGTAAAATCCTCAACGCTCCTTACTTTGTTACAAATAAAATCATCCACAATGACCTCAATGTTCCTTGTTTCAGATTTGGCCCAATCCAGATATCTACCCTTTCATAACAAACTCCATAACCATCCTAACCCTCTTGTTTCTAATGTTGCTTCCTATTCAATTCCTGATAACCCTCCAAGGCCTCTGAAAAGAAGATGGACCTGTGATCTCCTAATGTAGACATATTATTAGAGTGCTACTAGTGAGTAGTTTCTTAACATGTGTTTCATGTCATTATATTCACGTACGAATTTACTAGATGTATTTTTTTTTTTATACAGTTGTAAATACCATAATAAATAAAATTTATTCTTTTGTTTAAATATAACTTATGTCGTTTATTGCTTAGTTGCCTATTTGGCAACGCCAGAGTCATAAAAATTAATTTTTGTTTGTAAAAATGGTATATTTCCAGGCTAATATTCGTATTTCGCCTATTAATTTTTTTTTTTTAAATATATCTTATCTAATATATCTAATGCTTTTGTTACTTATTTGGGGAAGTCATATAAGATAAGAAGATAAGTTTCCAGGAATTTTCAGGAAAGAACTCATAGTACTTGCTGAAATTAAGTAACTTCGTTAATACCTACGTTAATCCTTGCTTGTCTTGGCCTACTTTGCATTTATTTTGAATAAGAGGTATGTGGTGTATGATGGATGGTCTCTCAGTGGAGCTCCGTGATAGAATGAAACGGCTAATGAAAAGCTGCGTAAGATTTGTAATTGGTGCCCCGAGATACTCCCATGTCTCTAACCACTATACTGAGTTCAGGAGGTTCTTTCCCTTCTGTCGAAGACAATATTTCCTAGGTACGTTCCTTTATCAAATCATTGTCTTTCTTACACCTACAACCTTCTCCAATTCAAGTCCTCAGTCCATTCCCTTTCCACAAGATCTCGACCTTCCGACCTTTACATCCTATCTCACAGACCTGCCACAGATCAACTCCTTTATTGCTCGCTCTGTCAATTTATAGAATTCCATAGCTATCAAAATTTGGTGTTCTACCTCCATATCCACATTCAAAACCCTCCTACTCCAACTCCTATCCCAAAAATAGTAAGATACTTGGTAAGCTTTTGATATTATACATTTGGTATTATATCATTCATCATCAAATGATAGTACTATTCTACACAGTAAACTTCACTAGGGATATTACAATATCTTCCCACTCTTAATGCCACTGAATGCATCTGTTGTTTGTTTTTTTTATTATTATTATTGTATTCTGTATCTATAGTTACAATAAGATAATGATGTGTTTACATATTATTCATTAATTAAATACTCTGACATTTTATATTGTCAGATTCGTCTTTCCTTTGTTAGCAGAAACACAGCTTATTTTAAAGAAGAACTTAATGTATTTTTTATTTATTTTTCTTAAAAGTGTGTAATTATAATTTTTCCTACTGTACATAGTTTTAAGTGTTATGTAAATAGTTTTTTTTTTTTTTTTTGTGTATAGCTTCTTGTTTAACTAATATTTTCTTTACTTTTTCTTTTTTTGTTATTGTTTTATTTAGGCCAGATGTAGTCTTTAAGTTTTTACTATTTTGTTATTCTAAAGGGACTTTGTCCCAGAATAAAGTTATTTTCTATTTTTTTGTTGTAGCTCTTAAAGTCTGCTATCACTCTTCTAAATATTTCTCTTTACTTACAGGATACCCTGTACACATAATAACTATGAATGTATTAATTTTTATTTTGGTACCTCTTTTGTAATAAGTTAAAATAAAAAAAAATATAATTGGGCAATTTGATTGTATGCTTTAAACCTTTTTGCATCATATTTTGTTGAATAAAAGTTTTATTACTGAATAGTTTATGTTATAGTTGCAAAGTGAAAATTCCTTATTACAATAAAAAACATTTATAATGAATCTACTAATGTAAGGTAATTGTTATAAAGGAATTTTTTAAAGAAGAAAATCACTCATCAAAAACAAGACATATATGACCTAAACCGAAATCGATAATAAAAAATATCTTTAATTCATTGTATACAAAGATCTCTGCAAAATAATTGAACTATTAATACATTACCGCAGTTGAACGATGACTAACATAACTGATGCCAAATTCAGGTCCAATCACTAACTCGACTGGGATAGACCAACCAGACTGAAAAACAAATTGAAAGATTTTAGTCTTTATAATATATTCATAAGTTGCGATAAGTTAGGTAATTTCTTCTCAGAAACTCATTTTAATTAATAAAAATCTGGTTGCACCAAAAAAAAGCACACCAAAAAAATTGGAGGTTGGCTCATCACACAACTTTCACTTACCACTCTACTTTTAACAGAAATTATTGTCTGGCAAAATTAGGCTGTTACAAAAAGTTTTAAAGTGCATTTTCAATGGAGCTAAACCATATAAAAAGAGAGATTTGAAAATATGTACCAAACACAAGGACATAGAAAAGTAACTAAGTGTATTTATGAAGAAGCTGAATTTTTAATAATGTTTTAGTGAATTTTGACCTCATATATCGACATAAAAACAGTAAGCATACTTAAATGACAAAAACTCTTTTATATATCAAATATAGGTACTACTGCACAATTTTCCGATTTCACATAGGGAAAATTGCAATACAATTTAATAATAATATATAGTTTATGTTACATATATTAATTAATCTAAACTAAGCTAAAATAAGTACTTATTGAACATCTTGTGCAACCATATTTTGATCAATTGTATTCAAGTAAAATATATTTTATACGTCTGAGTTTGGATTTTCTTAAGCTTTGCTTATTGTAATTGCCTATTGTTTTAATAAGGGGGTTAACTTTTAACGTTAAGTGTTTGTTGAGTTAAAAAATTTCTCGGTCTAGGAGTATATGAATGGTTTAAATGTCTGAAATTCCAAATTGTTTACATATTAGTTATGCTTGTGTATATGGGATAATCCTTTATGATTCTCATACACCGATTTTATATCCTTTCTAATTAAAAAAAAATATATAATTGCCATGGATGCTGGTTTTGGATTCCATTGAAGTTCACCTGATAAAAGAATGATAAATGAGCTGTAAATTGATCTTTTTGTTGTTAAACAAGCAAAATTTTCTTAATTCTAATTCTGTCAACCTCTCATAATTTTGAAACTTAATATTGAAAAATAGAAAATAATGCTTCATATGTTTTTTCTAGTCCTAAGCAAGAGGAATATTTGAAATTTTTTTTCTTAATATTTGCTGAAAAATGATGGAGATATGTTATTTAAAAAAAAAAGTCAAGATCTCAAAGCTGAATTCCATCTTGGACTATTAGGACTAGATAAGTAGTTATGGACTCAGAGCTACTGATCATTTCATTTAACTGAAGGACTTACAGTTAGTAACCATTTTAAATTGCAGATAAATTTCATTTGAACACACAACTTTGGTCAGTCGGTTGAAAGCCACTGCTCTCTATACGAAAATTTTAATTAAAGTGTCGACATTTGGCATTTCATTTAACGATAGAACTAACAGCTGAAATTTTGATATGATGTAAAGAATATGTCCCTAAAAGAGAATTCACCTCGACTGACGATGTACTCGGTTGCGTTTTGAAAACTGACGGCATCAAAAATATCAAATAAGTCCAGTTGGAAGTATCAAGTGTCATGGCCGCAACTGCAGTTCAATATTCATATCGTTCTGTCTTTGTTACATTGTCATCTGGTTGTTATGTTAAATCCCTTTCTGAGACTTTGTAAATAGAGTGTTTATAAACAGTTAAACATTTTTACATTATAATTAATGAGGTGAGTGACTTTTTAATAACAATTAGTGACATTAAATTGATACTCGTCAGGTAGAGACAGTTTACGTGGCAGATAATTCCCCTCAGCGGGTCTTATCTTTCAAGTTCACGGCCACGGCGCTTGGTTTTACTTCAGAAAATCGTGATTTCTTTCATAATTTACGTTTGTACCTAAGACAGTGTCTATAATTTTTTTTCTTCTCTCTCTCGTTAATTTTTTTTTTCACTAAGACTTTTATTTTAGTTATTTACAGAAAATGTTTTATTTAATATTTGTATATAGCTTTGTAAATAGATTAATTATTAAGTATTTATTTTGTATATTTTCTTATTAGTGATATTTCTTTTTTTTTTTACTTTCTCTTCTTCTTCTCTTTTTTTTTGTATATATTATTTAGAGGTATGGAACCTGAGAGAAACATTTCATGTGACGAATCAGATGAAGAGACTCCCTTCTCCGAAATCAGTGAGACTGATTCTCAATATTTAACCAGGCGAACTCTACAAAAGCGCAACAAAATCTCTGACCCCGGGTTGGCGGGCAACTCACCAAATAAAAAAATAAATAAATCCGCTAAATCAAAGCAGCCACTTAAAGTAGACCAAAATAAACAAACTCTAAAAATAATTCAACTATGAAACCTGAAACTAAACCACCTGCTAGCACATCCAGCAACAATTCTGTCGTCGCCAATAATAAAAATATCGAAATTACTCAGACTTTCACTGAACCTGAGCCACCACCCATATATGTAAGCAAAATTGAAAACTTCATGCAGTTCGGGCAAGAATTAGCTAATCTAATCGGACAGACCAATTTCCATTGCTTTTCTTTTATCAACGACATAAAAATCAATACCAACACCAAAGATAACTATAAATCACTTGACATCACACAATTATGACTTCCACTGCTATCAATTAAAAGAGGAAAAAACATATAGGGTCGTTTTGAGAGGTCTTCACTCAACCACTCCCACTACTGCTATAAAAAAAGATCTCGAAGATATCAGCCACAATGTAAGACATATATCTTCTGTTTTACATCCAATCGATAAATACTCACTTCCATTATTTTTTATAGATTTAGAACCAGCCCGGAATAATTCTGAAATCTTCGAAGTTAAAAGACTACTTTATTCTACAGTAAAATTTGAAGAACCGAGGCAGAAACCAATAGTCGTGCAATGCACCAAGTGTCAAAACTTAGGGCACACAAAGGCTTACTGCCATCACTCGGTGTGTCAAATGTGCCGGTTCTCATGCCTCTGACACATGTCAGAAACCATTAAATGAACCAGCAAAATGTGTCCTTTGTGGTGAGGACCACCCTGCAAGCTATCGGGGCTGCATTGTTTACAAGAGGCTATACAAGCAAAGGACTTATAACATATATCTAAAAACCCAAGAACAGAAGAATCCTATCAAGGCAAAAGCACCCGAACTACAAAGTTTGGCAACGTTTCCTGAATTGCTGAATTAAATAGCACCACAATTAACACAACAGCCTTCTACATCAACAAATCATCCCCATCAGGACTCCAGACAACTATATTCTGACTCCACACTGAAGAATCAGCAACCGCGACGCCAGAACGCCAGACGCCTCATACAAGACTGAAACGACAAGAAACCGCTCGACGTTTCCAACTACTCCAATACTTACTAGACAAACGCTCTAAGCTTTCAATTAATTACAAACGACTCGTATATATGACAAGAATAAGACCTATTAGGACTTACGGTCCACGTGAAACGTCGACAAAAATAAAAAAATTTAAAAAAGACTGCGTCCTGAATATTTATCACCCATGATACAATATATATATATACACACACACACACACATATAATGCCCATTCTCAATATAAATATATACTATAAACAGGCGCAGGTATGTTTATACTTATACTATTAAAACTATGTAATCCTTAATATTGTAATTTTCAAAATACTGTATAATATATTGTCCTACGTATCTTTTCAATTCATTACAATTGTCTTTGTTATAAATATTATTTGGCTAACCATTGTATACATTCAATCAAACTATGTTATATTTATATTGAATGGCACCTCTTGCTTATGTTCATTTTATTACAAGCCAATAGTCACAATTCTGTAACCATAAGAAACAATGTAAATCTTGTACAAATCTTGAATACTTATTCAGCTAATTATTTACATTCTATAAACAGAAATGTTACCTCCCTCCCTCCCCTTTGACTATGTTTATCTACCTTTTGCTATCTGAAAAAGGACAACTGGAAAATCCTCCCCCGGACCTTTCACTTACCAACCAAATGTGTCAGCACTTGAAAGCCTTCAGTGCTCGAACCACAGTTAGTAAGAAAACATATTACAAATTTTTATAAATGGATTATATACATTATTTTTAGTTTGTATAACATTTTACATGTTTCATTTATAACATTGTGTGTTGTAATAATAGGCAAGATTCATATACCATCAATCATTATAGCTTATTATTTACCATTCTCGATAGTATAATATTATATTTTTGATAGTATTTTAAAATTTTCAGCCCTGATGATGATGACCCACACGTTTGGGTTGAAACGTCGGCACAAATAAAAAAAATTTTATAATGACTGCGTCCTGAATATTTATCTCCCATGATAAGTAGAACAGTCGAATAGCTTCCTTCAATAATTCTTTAAAATATCTAGTTTAAAAATGTATAGAATATTTTTTGACGTAAATGTGCTCCTTCATAGTCAAAATGCGAAAATATAACAGTTTTTGGGATTTTTAAAAGTGATCCAGGGAGGGGGAGCTGAGGTCAAAAACTTGGATTTTGCATCTCAATAACACCCCAAACAAGAAAAAAAAAAAGAAAAATTCTACCCCTAGCAACTTAGATCCCCTTTTTCATGACAAGGTTACTGGGCTATTTCCCTCATTTGAGCAGAAACCGATATTCTCAAGACCGATTCTTAGGACCTTATTTTATCAAGATTCATACTTGGAATATTATTTTTTATACTATTATTGCTAATAGATGTGTCAATCAATTAATATAAACATAAATCTGTGCAAAGTCCGATATTATCGGCCTTACGACCTTATTTTATCGATAATGATAGACTTTGACAATTTTATTTTTTCCTTAAGGTCTTCTGCTTCCCCTAATTAGAGTAGATACAGATAGAATATTATGATTCATAGAGTTTTACAAGGAGTACTATTTATATTGCTAATAAATGTGTCAAGTTATTGCCAAAGAATCAACAATTAATTTGAGCAGATGGCGATATTTGAAAGACGGTTGTATTGGCCTGATGACATAATTTAACAAGATTCAAACTTGGAATATTATTTTTATTGCTAATAAAACCTAATAAAAATAATCAAACTTCAAGGGATTGACATAAACATAAATTTGAACATAAACTGATACATCGGCCTTACGACCTTATATTATCGGGATTGGTAGAGTTTAACCATTTTTATATTTATGGTCCTACACTTTCCCTAATTTGAGCAGATACCGATATACCGGCCTCGCGATCTTACTTTACCAAGATTAGTAGTTTAAATTTTTTTTTTTTGTGCTACTCATCTTCTATTTTTTTTTTTTTTTCATTCACCACTTGTACCAATATACCTGGGCCTTACCACTTTATTTTATCGAGATTCATAAAGTTTAACATGGAATATTATTTATATTGAAAATAAATTTGTCAATCAATCGTCAAGGGATCGACATAGTCATAAATTGGAGCGAAGTTTTAACAAAAGAGCGAAATTTAACAAAAAAAATAACAAAATAAACAAGTGGCAAAACTCTACCAATTTTAATAAAATAAGGTCATAAGGACAAAATAAAATTCTTTGAATCTCAATCAAATATGGTTGTAAGACAGATATATCGGTCTTCAGAAAATCGGTATCTGCTCAAATTAGGAGAGAACAAAAAAAAAAAGGTCAAACCCTACTAATCTCGATAAAAGAAGGTAATAAGGCCGATATACTGGTCTAACTTATGTTTATGTCGAATCCTTTGAGAAATGATTGACACTTTCATTCTCAATAAAAATAATATTCCAAATGAAATTCTACCAATATTGATAAAATAAGGTTGTGAGGCCAATATATAGGTCTTTAGAATATTGATATCTGCTCAAATTAGGAAAAGACAAGGACCAAAAAAAAAAAAAATGAAAGAATAAGAATGCCGATAAATAAAAAACAATTAGCAAAATTTGGTCAAACTCTGCCAATCTCAATAAAATAAGATCATAAGGCCAATATATTGGTCTTTACCCACATTTATGTTTATGTTATACCAATGATGATTGATTGATACATTTATTAGCAATAAAAATAATATTCAAAGTTTAAATCTCAATAAAATAAAGTCATAAGGCCTTTGGAATATCGCTATCTGCTTAAATGAAGGGAAAATGAGGAACACAAAAATAAATAAATAAAATATAAAAAAAGGCAAAACTCTACCAATCCTGAAAAAAATAAGTCATCAGGCCGATATATAGATTTTTTGAATATTTGTGTTTGCTAAATTCAGGGGAGAGGAGAGAGAGAAAAAAAAAAAAAAAAAAAAAAAAAAAAAAAAAAAAGAGGAAGGCTGATATGTCGGTATCGGTTGATCCCTAATCCTAAGCTTTATAAATTGATTAATCCTTACAGTACATACAAGTTTTCAAAGGCTATTATTGGTCTGTTTTATTACTATAGTATAAAACAGTTTACCACAGGCCTCAGTGAGATCACTGTGTCTGTAGTAGACCATTAGAATAAATTATTCCTCACATTTCAACCTTTCCTACCTATCTGGGGAACCAATGTTTATCAACTAATGGGTTAGTAGCTGTTTGATAGACGGTGGCTTAATTCAAAACATATTTATAAATGTGATAGAAAATAATACATACTCCAAGAGAACATTGGAATCTTTCCTCTCCAAAGTATAGAATAGATTTGAGGATGGTTAAATACCGAGAAACAACTTCTCTATCACTAAGGGAAGCAACTTTCTTGAAGTTCGACTGTAACTGTTTCCTCAGGGACTTTGCTTTATGAGATTCTAGAATTGATGAAGGGAAGAACTTTTGAAGACCAACCTGGAAAACAAAATTAATTGTATATTAGATCAATAAAATAATATTTATTGAGGTACTTAGAGATCAACTTAGTATACAATTAAATGTAATAGAATGAAAATGGGCATCATTGACCACAAACATGCATTTCTGAACACGGTACAGGAACTGTATGCAAAAAACCAGATTATAAAACCATCCATTCTGGTATAAAAATATACAGTCTGGCCAGAGACAGAGCTACCTGTACACATCGCTATTACTCTCTTATATCGTCAATTTTGTTTTTCTTTATTTTAATCTTCAGTACAGTTCATTATAGTTGAGTTTATTTTTCTTTTAACAGTATTAGTATTCACTGTGGGGGACCAGCGGTTTTCTGTCGGGGTCTCTTTCCCTTAGATAAGTTGCCTGCCACAGCTGTGATTAGTGTCTTTTTCATTCACTTTTATGTATGTAAAGAAAGTGTCGTGAATCTAATTGAGTTCTAGGAGCTACGAGACTGTAAACGTCTACTAATCCTTACGGCATTAGACAACACTGTTTACTGCTTTCATCAAAACAACTCTCTCCTGGTATTTACTTATATCTTAATTGATCTATTTTAATTAAATATGGTGCAGTGTAATATTTGCAATAATACTATTGCAAACGAAGACAAAAACAATCTTTATTGTGTAAAATGCAAAATTATTTTTCATGGTAGGTGTCTAAATCTAAATGTAAAAGAAATTGAAGCCTTAAAAGCACACAAAACAACATGGGTATGCCATAATTTTGAGCAGGCCAAAAAACCTAACACTGAGCCGACTGCGTCAGAAATACTGGTGGCAGTAAATTGCTTAGACTTGAGTGCCAATGAAGACATAAAAAACATAAAAACAGCCCTCGATAAATATGGAGAGCTCAGTTTTGAGCTTAATGAAAGATTGTTGAAAATTGAGAAACACCTCGAAAGTCTAGCCAGTCATTTCAAAGAAATTATTCTGGAGAATAAAGCCCTCAAATCCAGCGTGTGCTAACTGGAGGTCCACCTGAACAATGCAGAACAGGGCCTATTATCCAGATCTCTGGAGATCCAAGGGATACTGGAACGAGTGGGCGAAACACCTACCGTGCTGGTGACGGTGGCCAGAATCCAATAAACTCAGTTCCATCCTGGTGACTCCAGATGATCTCAATGACCATTTCCTATCCTTCACTCCCGATTCTTCTCCTACTTTCGATATTAAACATTACAATTTCAACCCTGAAGACTTCTTTTTCTCCCATGTGGCCTATGATGAATTACTTTCCACTATCCTAAAATCCCACACTAATGATTATGGTCCTGATAATATCCCAGTAAAACTAATAAAATCCAGCCTTCCTGCCCTTATTCCTGTTCTTTATTACATCTACAACTTTTCACTGCAAAACTCTATATTCCCATCCTCCTGAAAAACTGCCCTAGTCCGACCTTTGAATAAAATTTCCAACCCTACCTCACTGCACGATTTATGTCCTATTTCTCTCCTATCCAACCTCTCTAAGCCGTTAGAACGCCTTGTCCAAAATCAACTCTCCAACTTCCTAGAAGAACGTTCCCTTATCAACCCATTCCAATCTGGCTTTCGACCAGGTTACTCAACACAATCCGCTCTCCTTAAAATAAGCCATGACCTCCAAAACTCCATCAAACACCAAAACCTTACCATCCTCATCCTTCTAGATTTTTCCAAAGCGTTCAACACAGTTGACCATAAGATCATCCTTACGAAATTGCACAATATTCCTATATCCAACAGTGCCCTGCGCTGGTTCAAATCCTTCCTTTCAAATCGGTCCCAGTATGTAGCAGTCCCAGGCCAACCTTCATCTAAGACCCTTCCCCTCTCCTGTGGTGTCCCTCAAGGTTCCTCTCTATCTGCTACTCTGCTTACTATCTAAATTAATGACTTTCCTCTCATGATCCATCACTCCCAATACCATATCTATGCAGATGATTTCCAAATATACCTGTCCTTCCCGCCCTCCAACCTATTGTCTGCCGCAGAGAAACTATAAGAAGACTTGAATAGGATTTGTGACTGGGCGAGAACTAACAAGTTGTAGTTGAATGCGGGAAAGACGAAAGCAATCTTAATAGGCTCCAATTACCTCCTTAAAACCGTTCCTAATATTCCAACTCTGTTCCTGCATGATAATCCCATCAAATTTTACCCCACCATCAAAAACCTTTGAATAACCTTCGATCAAACACTTTCCTGGAAAAACTATGTATCCAATATTTCCCGCTGTACCATTTCCACTCTAAAACGTCTAAATTATTCTCGTCACCTATTTCTATTTGAAACCCGTAGGCTCCTAGTCACTTCATTAATTTTCCCCCACTTAGACTATTACTGTTCGGTAAATGGGGGCGTCTCTGGGGATCTCGAGGTAAAACTAAAACGTTTAATAAATGGCTTTGTAAGATTCATCTTCGGGATACCAAGGGACACCTCTGTTTCCCATTTTTATGCAGAGTTGAAGTGGCTTTATCATTCCTACCATTGTAAATATTTCCTGGCATCCTTCCTCTTTCAAGTTATCCAATCACACCGTCCTTCATACATCTCTGAGCTCCTTCAATTCAAATCCTCAGTTCGTTCCCGTAATACTCGTTCGCGGTCTTCTGACTTATATATATGGGCCCACCGAACCGCTGCTTTCGACAGATCTTTCATTATCCGATCCTCATCCCTTTGGAACTCCATCCCTTCTCACATTCGACAATCTAATACCCTTCCTACCTTTAAATCCCGTCTGTTCAATCATTTCTTATCCATCCAGCCCCCATGAAATTGTAAATAGATACTAATGTAAATATGTATATAAATTATTAGCACGTTCTTCATTATTTTTACTTCATCCTTTTTATTTAATTTTGTAATTTGTAATTATTAACTGATTAAAATTAGAAAGTAACTTATAATTTTTGATTTTATTACTATGACTGTTTAATTACTCTGTATCTTTATTTATGTATCTCTGAGGCTCCTTAGCCCATATTTATGTCTTTCTGTATTATTCTAAAGGGACTCGTCCCAGAATAAATAAAGTATTATTATTATATTATAAATAAGTTTTGAAAAGCTAAGAGGGAAATGCTAACAATCTAAGTTTGCTCTATCGAAATATAATTGGTATGCTCAGCTCGAAGTATTGGTGGATACTATTGGTGAAAGTGATCTATTTCATAATACCAACCCACCCATAATTAGATCTAATATTAAAAAGTTATTAAATAAATATAAACAACATTCGCTAGAGGGTGACAAGAGAGCATTGTATAGCTCAGGTTATAGTGAGCATTTGAATCTTTTTTTTTAACAATGATCAGATCTCCCAGTATTTTTTTATGCCAGCTAACTTCAAATACACCAAATAATTAATGCAGATTCGCCTCTCGGGAAAATAGATGATTAAAGTCTCAATCAACAATACAATTATTAAAAAAATCAATCCACAACTTGAGAGTAAAATGTGCAACACTAAGAAAAAAGAGACACTTTATCATGTTTTATTTTAGTGTCCAGTATACAATAGCTTGAGAGTAAGAATTATCAGGGTATGGGAAATTTTAATGGGATGAAAATATTTAAGCCAACCACTGGAGATGATATGAGAAAATTATATTTCTTTATCTCTAATATATCTAATTACAGAGATTTGGAGAGGTAATCTCAAATATTGTCCTTTGAATATTTTAGCGAAAATGTAGATTGGATTTCTGTATGTAATCTGCTCCAGCCTTTTTCCTTTATACATGTAAATAAACTGTTAATTTAATTTAAAAATATGATTTAACATTAATATTTAAAAGATAAAATGTATTTAATGTTTTGTTGTTGTTTTTGTGCTCTATTGACAGATTTTATATTGATGTTGATAATTATCTTATCTGCATTATATATATATTTGTGTGTGTGTGTGTGTGTGTGTGTTGATAATTATTATGGATTATTTTAACTGTTTGATTTTTTATGAATTATGATTTGTAAGTTATACTTAACTTTTTTTATAATATTTATAATGTAGCATAACAAAGAAAACTATTGTATTACCACAAGAATAGTAATGTTTATAATGCAACGATAGACCCTCAAAACAAATAAAGATTACATAGAAAAAAAAACACAAGAAAACATCCAATTCCTTATAAAGCAGCCTCAGATCATTGTTGAAACGGCGTATCCACTCTCCAACTATAACTGGACCGTATACCCTCCTCAGGACTCTTCTTTCGAATCTCACAAGAGAAAATTTTTGTGCTTGGGCAAGAGTCCAAGAGTTTTTTTAAGTATATGTGAAAACTGGCTGAATGAGAGTCTTGTACAGCCTGACTTTCGAGGATTTGGAGAGGAGACCACCAGGAGAAGTCATATGCTTTTGCAGAGCAAAACAACAGTGATTAGCTGCCATAATCTGCTTCTTGACTTCTGCTCCAATACCATTTAGTTGTTTGGCCAGGGATGCTAGTACACAAATTCCTCTACTCTCTCCACACTCTGCCCATTGACTTGGATATAGTTCTCAACATTCACCGGTTGAAGGTTTCTGCAAATATATTTTTTTTGTTATAGTTGAGAATCAGTCACATCCTCGCAGCAGTATTTTTCAATGCTATCACTGCTTCCTTGACTGCTGCTAGTGACCTGCCAGCTATGTCAATGTCATCAGCAAATCCAAGGAGCTGCATTTGGAAGTTGATGAGTGTACCAGTTGTCTAGATCCCAGAGTCACTAACTGCCTTTTCCAGAGCGAGATTGAAGACGGGGCATGCCAATTCGTCTCCTTGTCGAACTTCTTGTCCAGTGGAGAAGCCCCTTGAGAGCTTACCATTCTCTTCATCGTGTAGTATTATGTGTCCCGTTATAATTAGCATTCTGAAATTTGGTTTTTGTTTAGTGTTAATAATTAAATTTTAGTAGTTGCTATAAAAAAGGTGTACAAATGGGCCCAGTAATTGTGTTAATATTAGTTGTTAGATTAGTTTATTCCTTCATGCATGAAAAGGAACTCATTCTTTTCCTATATTTTATTATTATATTATAGTTTATTCCTCCTTTTTATTTTATTTTTTTTTAATGTTGGCTTTAAGCACGTCGACCCCTTTGGGTCCATTTTGCGCCAATGTTCACTAGGTCGTCTTATTTAAAACGTTAGTCCTGTCGCTTCCGCGTATCTAAGTAGGCTGGTTGGGTTGACCGACTCAAATCTACTGGGGAGATCCATCTGTTCCTCCCCAAATAAAGCCAGTCTCAGCCTTATAAACTTGTCACATCTGCATATGATGTGAAAAGCTGTTTCATTCTCCTCCTGACAGAATCTGCATAGCGGATTCGTCATAACGAATTTTTATTTAATACTGTAAATAAGTTTATTTTATTTATTTACGTTATTTTTTGTTTAATGTTAAAAATACAAAAATGTTTGTTTAGCAGTGGTGCAATTATTATACACCCTTATTTTATTACTTGATTTATTTTCTTATATTTTATTTAATTAAACACGCCCCACTAGACAACACATAATATCTTATTCTCTTAATTTATATAACTTAATATTTTTATTTCAATTCTCTTCTATGTGTATGATTCGATAAATTTCACTACATCTTATTTTTTCTATTAACTTATATTATTTTCTTTAAATAACCTCATATTCATTTTCTTGGTTTTTCATTTTTATTCTATGTTTATCTCACTATCTTTTAACATATTAAGACATCAACTTAAAACAACTATGTCACACAATATATTTTATGTTTACCACTTACGATTTGTATCTCTTAATATTCCATTTCATTTCTCACTTCTTTGTTAATTTCATTAAGTTGTTAAAGTTATATTTTATTATTGTTTACTTCATAACTTTATTACTTCTATTATATATTGTTCTGTTCATCTATAATTTCTTAACTTTGTTACCGTTATTTTATAAAACAACTGTTAATCAAATTAAATTTTATATATCAAACTGTTATTATATATTTCATTTTTCATTTATTTGTTAATTTCCTTGTGTTGTTAATATTATTTATTTCATTACTTTATTACCTTTATTTTATAACTAAGTTCCATTGTTTCATAAGTCTAACTTTGTTACCACCATCATATATATATTCTAACTTTGAAGAAATTCACAGAGAGGTGAGAGACTCCCGTATCTTAGACCACAGCTCCTGGTCCTCCAGGTTGGGGGTTGGGCATAGGGCTAATAAAAAAATCCCTACAATACAATTAAAAAACCTAACAGAAATCTCTAAAAATCCAATTCTCTAAACATGGTAATGACCCTAGCTTTGAATCACGGACTAAACATTGGATCACATAATGTACCTACTTTATATAGACAAAGAGCGGCAAAAACGGGAGTTCACAAACTAAAAAAGTACAGTTTACTGTTAACAGTTATCAAGAGATAAGTAGGCCAGAAGAAGATGAAACCACTATCGATGACTATACACTATTCTACTCTGGAAGAAATAAAATGAAACAGCTGGTACCGGATTTATAGTTAGTCTAGCCGCAAGAAAATCTATCATAAACTTCACCCTGATTAGCGAAAGGATAAGTGTATTACAAGTTAAAGGTCATTGATATATCACTATTATTAACACCAACCAATAAAAGATGATTTCAACGATCATATATAAAACTATATAAATAAGTTTTAGCATTATCTTTATTCCTAATAAAGCATTAAATCAGTATGATTCCATATCCCTTGATAACAGTTCAATTAATAAAACTAAATAAATAAGAGATATATTAAGGGTCATAATCAGTAAACAACATTCACCATTTGAAAACAGATATTTTTTGTGGGACTCAATACTTCAATTACATAAAAATGTCATTTTCCCTCTACTTATACTTTAAATAAATACTATAAATATCCAAATGTATACTTTATATCAAGACTTACTTCTTTTTCTAAATATTCTGAATTAGATTTCTTATCCAACGCAAGTGATGGAACATCCCTGAAATGATGTTTTACTGCAAGACAAGCCAATTGAACAGCTAGGTCCAAATCAGAAGTAGGGCTCTTCAAATAGTCACTCTTCACCTATCAATAAAAAACATGCTAAATCAACAACTAGAATAATACAATGTATTTAAGAGGATTGTTGTTTAAGTCTTTGTTGTTTTTTAGGCTTGCCATCGGCCAAAGTATGTAGGTTCGTCATCAGGGCTAAAAAGTAAAACAATATATCAGTTAAATAAGATTCTTATTTATAGATAGAAGAATGTAAATAAGAGAAGATAAAAGATGAAAAGTGATCGGGAGATAACAGTAATATAAAAATAAATTTAATAATAAAAACATAACAGTATGCTAAGAAAAAGAATTATAAACAAATAAAAATCAAATAAAATTAATAAAAATATAAAAAGTAAAAATAATTAATATAAATAAACAAGACTAAGAATAATTTGGATTACAAAAAATAATTGGAACACAATTGGCAATATCAAACAATAACATTTAGTATAGTGATTTTTTGGATGCTTCTCATTTATTTTAGTACTAAGTTAATTTATTTTTACTTTCATATACTTATTAGTTTTAATTTGTTTATGTTTATTTATACATTTTCTTTCTAGACGTACTGTTATGTTTGTATTATTATTATAGGTGATAAATAGTCATGACACAGTCATTGTGAATATTTTTTGAGGAGTTGGTCGGGGGTGTGGTCAAATAAATACTAAATTTTAAAAAATAGTATTTTTAATTATTACGCCGACGTTTCAACCCACCTTGGAGGTCTTCATAAGGCTACAATAGATAAAAAATATAAAAGGTACAGGATGATAATAAAATAAATGAATTATAAGTAGATATTAAATAAGAAACAGTTGTCTGATAAAGAACTAATAAATAATAATAATAATAATAAAAGGTTTAGCGGACCCGAAGGTTCGATGCCGACACCGCCAATCGCTTATTACACACCTCCTTCCACCGTTATCCGTCCAAACCAAGCCCCTTCAGAACGGCTTTAATGCAATTATCCCACCTTCGCTTTAGTCTACCCCTTGGACATTTACCTTTCGGTACAGCAAATATTAACCTTTTAGGAATTCTCTCGTTACTAAGCCCAACAATTTTACAAGCCCATTTGATTGATGAAAATTCCTCAATTATATTACCCGGATACAGTTCACGCAATTCTGCGTTGTGTAACCGTCTGAACTCTCCGGTTAACTCATCCTTTTTCAGTCCGAACATTCTACGCAATATTTTATTTTCAAAAACCTTAAGACGCTGCTCATCCCTTAATGTAAGCGGCCAAGTTTCGCATCCATAAAGAACTGTAGGTAAGATAATGGTTTTATAGATTCTAATTTTTATGTTCCGGGACAAGAGGCGCGAGTTAAGTTGTTTTGTCACAGAAAAATTACAAGCATTTCCCGCTTTCAGTCTAACCTTAATTTCTTCTTCAATTTCATTTTTTCTAGTTATTGTAGAACCTAGATATCTAAATTTCTCTACCTGTTCAAACATATTGCCATCTATATCGATATCACCAGTAGTATCGCCATTTTTGCAGCTAAACATATATTTTGTTTTATCTGCTTTATTTCGAGTCTTAGTTCTTTACCGGCTTTCATTAATGTTGTCGTATTTAGTTTTATAGTTTCCATGTCTTCGCTTAACAGTACCAGATCATCCGCATAGCCTAGCATGGGAATTGTCCCACCCAGATCCAACCCGTTGTCGGTACGCATTATCTCCCTAATGGCATGTTATAATGCCAAATTGAACAGGACAGGCGAAAGGGAATCTCCCTGTTTAAACCCGAACGAACCTCAAATTTTTTGGACAGATTATTACCAATTTTAACTTTATTGAGTGTTTCCGTCAAGCACATCCTGACTAGATTTACCAATTTTTTTGGAATCCCCTGCTCGATTAGAATATTATACAGTTTCTGGCGGTCAATAGAATCATAAGCCTTTTTAAAATCGATATACAGCTGGTGAACAATACCATTGTACTCCAATGTTTTCTCTAATATTTGCCGTAAAGAAAATATTTGATCAACAGTCGAACGATTCCATTTAAATCCACATTGGTAGTCCCCGATAATTTCCTTGGCGTATTCTGTGATTCAACTGGTTAAGATTAAAGTGAATATTTTATAACATACCGGAAGGAGTGAAATTCCTCGATAGTTATTACAATCCGTCCTTGGGCCCTTTTTGTGAATCGGAATAAGAATAGATTCTTTCCATTCTTCAAGTAATTTCTCATTCCCCAGATCTTTTTAGCCAACCAATGTGTTTTAGAAACTCCAGCTTCTCCGCATGCCTTAATTAGTTCAGTAGGAATATTATCGGTTCCCGCTGCTTAGTTATGGTCAGATTTTAATTTTCCGATAGCTAGTTCAACTTCCTCTTCACTCGGTTCTTCTATTAACGGTTCAGCACTCTGGTACTCAGAAGGAGGACACAGATCATAATTTTCCGTATTTAAAATATTGTCAAAGTGGTTCTTAAACTTATTCAATATGTCAACCGGATCGGTCAGAATATTGTTATTTTCATCCCTAATTCCAGACGTTACGGGCCCTAAACATTTACGTGATCTGTTTATACCTTTGTACATGTCTCTTACGTTACTTTCGATTCTATTAGTTTCTATTTCCATTATTTTATTTTTAAGATACTCCCTTTTTTTTTTGAGCAATTTTGTAGTTTCCTTCTTTGAGATTCAAAAGTATTCCAGATTGTCTTCGCTAGGATCATTTAGAGCTTTTAATTTAGCATTTCTTTTTTCGCACATGTTTAAGCAATCTTCATCAAACCACGGTTTGTTATTCTTATTTTCCTTTTTTCCTAGACACGAGTTACCAACCGCTTTAATATTATCCCTGATCTCTACCCATAACTTGTCAATATTCAGAAAGCTCTAAAACTTCAAACCTATTCTTAACATCTAGCTTGAATTGGATTCTAATTGATGGATTTTTAATTTTTCCTGATTAAGAACTAATAAGATAAAGAAATAATAAGATGACATCAGAGATATAGTGGGAGCCAATATAGTTAAAATATCAAGTAATATATATATATATATATATATATATATATATATATATATATATATATATATATATATATATATATATATATATATATATATATATATATAAGATACAAACAAAAATAGAAAATAAGTATGAATAAAAATAGAAAACAAAGGAGAATATAGCGTGTAAGTTAAAAGCAAACAGATTGTGATAAAAGATACGAAATGATTGTATAACAAACTGGTTAAGATTATATTTGATAACTGTAGGTTAACAGATAAACAAAATGATTGTTGAAGAATAAAGAAATTGCAAATTGAATAAGTAATGATCTAGTAAAGCTAAAATAAGAATAAGATAACATAATAATAAGATATCAATGGATAACAAGCTAGTGGCAATTACATATGATAAATTTAAGTAAACATAACGAAACTAAAGGTTAACAAATAAAGAAATTGAAAGATTAATAAAATAACATTAGTTGTAATATCGTTAGAATAGATTTATTAAATATATATAACTCTACAAGAAAATTTTTTTTTAAAGAAGAGAAATTTAGAATGTAAGTATAAATGTAAACAAGGTTATGATGATGAAAAGAAGTTGTACTATATATAAATGAGAATCGACACATTCAGTTTTGTGAAAGCGGTAATGGAATATTAGGCTATATGAAGATTATAATAAGGTGTATAGTTGTTTAGTTCTTATAGAGTAACATCTCTATATCATTTTGAATATTTTTTGTTTGTGCCAACGTTCCAACCCAAGCATGAGGGTCATCACCAGGGCATGTTTTGAGCACTGAAGTTATTCAAGTACTCCAGACGTTGGCACAAATAAAAAATATTCAAAATGACTGGGTCCTGACTATTTATCACCCATGATATGTAGAACAGTCGATTAACTTCCTTGAATAATTCTATTATTATTATATTTATATTAAAGTTAACTCCTGGGTGCTTTCCATATTTTATCTTGTCTTACTTACATACTTCTATCTAAATATCGTTTTTATAATTTTTAATTTTTAGCCCTGATATGTGGGTCATTAAACAATGAGTTAGTTGTTTAACAATTCAATAGTAATTATTTAAATTAAAAGTAATATTACGTACGAAATGAAGAAAATGTGGAGATCCCATACAGAGGAGAAATCCTAGAGAAGACTGAGGAATATACCTACCTAGGTACAGTTATCAGCAGGAATGGAAAGATTGATGGGGGGGGAGGTTTCCAACCGGATCAAAAAGGCAAATAATGTCAACTACCAACTATGCAACACAATTGCTGGAAAGAGAGAAGTGGACAAAAACGTGAAGCTGCACATTTTCAAGGCAATATACCTACCTACTCTTCTCTATGGAAGCGAAAGCTGGGTCCCACTAGACAAGCACTGGAGCCTAGTAACAGCAGCAGAAATGAGATACCTGAGGAGAGTGGCTGGCCGAACCAGAAGAGATCTGATCAGAAATCAGCAAATACGAGAGGACCTGGGAGTTTCAGCTGTAAAAGAGGTGGTTAAGAGGAAGAAGCTGAAATAGTTTGGTCACTTTTGCCGAATGGAGGAAGATAGGGATCCAAGGAAGTACTTCGAAGCTAGACCAACTGGAAAACGTCCCCGGGGCAGACCTAGATTAACGTGGACAGACCACATTTCTAAGCTGGAACAGCAAAGAGGACGCGGGCTGAATGCCATGAAGGCGCTGGCCAGAGACCAGACTGCGTGGCTGGCATAGACTTAGGTACCTCCACACTGAAAGGCACAAGGAGAAAGAAGAAGAAGTAATATTAAGTTCCTTCTTATAACTTGAATACAATATGTACATAAAACAAAATAATAATAAATAAACAAAATACTTGATATTTTCATTATGGTTGAAATAAAGTAAAAATGGTAATAATACTAATAATGATACTTAAGGTAAAAACGACTTTATGTAAACATATTAATGAAATATAAAAGATTTTATTTTTTATGTTATTTTCGTCTTTTTTTCCTTATACATTGAACAAAAGTTTTCTGATTTTTAGGCTGCACAAGGTGAAAAGAAAGACATTATTGATTTCTCCTTCTTTATATTGCGTAAGGATATATGGTAGTTTGTCTATTATATTTAAGTTGTGAATAATTGGGCTAATGAATCTTGATCTGTAATGTAGCAGTATTGGTCATGACAGAATAAAGTGGAAAACGAGTCTTCTCCTTTATAGCCTACAGGGCACAAAGATTCAGCATAACATTTTAGTAAGCTTTTGAATGTCTTATGTTTTGATTATTGCTTAATCGTAAGAATGGGGCTCCAAGACAGGTAAACTCTTTTACTTTTTATAAAACAGTATTCAGGTATTTCAAGGTATAGTGCCTCCCTATTAGCCCTGGAACCAGGGCCCAAAAATCGACCTGATTGCAGGCGAAGGTTCGATTGTAAATTAAGAAAGTGTATGTTATTCTGAGTTAAAATATAAATATGGGTTTAGACATGTAAAAAAACAAATTGCTAATACGGTAAAGTATAAAACCACAGTCAACCAACACTAATTTCTCCTGTCAAAAAATGTTAGCACTCAGTGGACGCAAAACTCGATGCTCTACAACTTTGTTTCTATGGGTTTTTCCTCTTAGGGAATTCATTTCCATTTTACATGGCCATTTATAGTAATTTGTCTCAGTTTTTGACTAATTTGGAAAAAATTAGCGTTGGTTGACCGTGATTTTATACTTTTGCCCTATTACCAAATTATAAAGTTTATGTACTCGTTCGACACAAAATTTAATGTTCTTAAATTTATTAAAGAATACATTTTTTGCTTTGATGCATCCTTTAGGAGTTATAGGTGAAAAAACAAAAAAATATCGAAAAATCTGACTTTTTTGGCTGTAAAAAGTTTTCCCTTGGTGTCCCGCATTAGAAATTATGTTTTTTACCTGTCTAAATCCATATATACAAGTTAAAAAGATAAAAACTTTTCTCACATTTTTCACATTTCCCATTTGCATCCTCAAATTACTGGTCTAATATTTTCTAAATCAGACAGTATTTTTGAAAGCAGCGGCTCTGGAACGGCAGACAAGGTTTTTTTAACTCAGAATAACATACACTTTCTTAATTTAAAATCAAACCTTCGCCTGCGATCAGGTCGATTTTTGGGCCCTGGCTCCAGGGCTATACTGCCTGATAACCACGTCTTTAGAATGTCCAAAAATACTGACTTGTTAGTATTTACTATTAGGGCTTTATCAAAGCAGTAATTTTCTAGGATCTGGAGTTTGTTTTGGGGATCTCTCCAGGTGTTCGCTAAGATACCAAATGTCTGCATAAAGGAGGAGGATGAGTAGAGTTACACCCATTAGCGGAATTTCTTGGGATTCTTTGCCTTATAAAGGTTCAGTATATCTGACCTATACAGTAAAAAAAGGAGACTTAAAATATCGCCTTGTAAGATGCCTTCGAAAACTGGAATTTCATCGGATAACTTGTTATCTTCATTGATTAAGAAAATGGCTAACTCATATGCTATCATTAGTAAACAAAGTACTTTCCCTTTTAGGCCAATATAATGAAGCCATCTCCATAGCCATTCATGATTTAGGAAATCAAAGGCGTGTTCGTTTGAAGTCTACAAAGATAAGATATCACTATGCCTCTTTTCATTTGTACCTCTATATTTAATTCTGTTGCGAGGATAAATATGCTTTCTCAATAGCCTTTCCTTTTTTGGAAGGCAGTTTGTATAATCAGTATAAGGTTTCGTTGATCTGTCCAGCTCGCCAGTTGGTTATATGCAATGCTTGTAAACAGTTTTAGCACTGAGTTCATATTAATATAAACCATAAACAATGGTTGAGAAGAAGGAGGAAGAAGTGATACAATTATTTTATAAAGATAATGTCACAATCAGAATTCCTAAATCCACAAAATAATACAAGTTTAATAGGGTAAATAAGGTTATGTTTAGGCACAAACAATAGTTTCCAGAGGAGTTTCTAATTGTACAATAGTTACAGGGACTTGTGAAAGAATATTATGAAAATATAGCAACATGCCATGGTGTAATGGTGGCTTATGTTTTGTAATGACTAGGAGGGGAGATTATCAGGAATTCAGGAGTACCTGAAACCCTTTCTGGAGTATGCCTTCTCATTAACTCACTAAATTATGACTTAATCCAGGGAGTTGGGAGGCATCTGAAATTCATAGATCTTCAGTAGGAGTGCATGGTGATAAATACAAATAAAAATATTAAAAGAGAGCTGGGATTAAAAAAAGAAAAGAAAATTAAAACAATGGTTATGAATTTTAAACAGAAATCAAGAGATTAATATTAGATATGACAGATTAAAGTGGTCAATAACAGCATTTATTAATAAAAAACAATTACTGCACATACCTGATCAAACAGAAATAAAGCAGTAAACTTGTCAATATCATAAACTTCTTCAAGGGAGTGAGGAATATACCTGATCCTCAGATCGAAGTGACATTCTTCTAATGGATGATCTCTAGAATTGTATTTTTCCTCAATCTAAAAAAATATACATACACATATATATACACACACAGACATACACATACACATTAATACACACACAGCATTAATAGGGCAGTCGATTATTCAACAACGCTTCACTTCTTATTTAAATGTACAAAAATGGCTTGATGGCTGGTTTGCCACAAAAGAGCAACTGTTTTTCTGAAAAATATTACCAACATTTGTAAGCAATAAACATGTATTTTTATAAGAAAATTTCAGTTTCATATTTACACACTAGGTACACTAGTAAAGTTGCATGATTATATTACAGTCACAGGTGAAAGTGATAAAAGATTAGTCATTTTAAATGGTATTTACAGTTATTATTATGTTTCTCCTACCTGGCATCATTCAATAAAATAAATTAAATCAGTACTGAACGTTTATTGGTTTTGTATGGCATTAACATATGCAACATACTTTGGTTTCCTTCAATCAGGGTAAGTTGAAGTTTATCAATGCTTTGAAAAAGAATCCTGATTTGTGTAACATAATCCAAGTACTTACAAAACCTAATTCTGAGAAGGAAGATATTTTGAGAGGGATAAATGTTTCCTTTCTGCTTTTTACAGAGTTAATAGAAATAGTATTTATTCATTAGGCAAACCCAAGGATAAACATTATTCGAAGTTGACATATAAGATTACAGATAGTACTGCTTCACTGCTGCCAACTGAAGACTTGGCTAACCAGCATTTAATCCAAGTACAAAAATGACTTGAAAAGTTTTTCATGCCAAGGAAATCGCTATTGGAAAACATCCAATGATAGATTAAAATCAATCACTACATTGCAGCCCCCTTCTCAACATTTCATATTGATGTAAACAGAAATGTAGGGAAAAGTGTGGTTGAAAGAAAGCACGCTTATTATTTATTGTTCTAATTTTTTTTTTAATCTATGAAGGGTTGTATGCAAACTTAGGAAAACCATCTTTGGACGATAAAAGTGATCAAGGTATAATCATTAAATAAAATATATAATAATCCTGGAGCTCTTGGTTTTCAAACTGTACTAGACCGAGAGCAATTATGTTACATCATTAACCCTAAAATTTATCATTACAAAACCATAACTTTAAATTATTTTGTTCATGATCCTGAATGTGTTTTACAGTAGTAGAAGTTGGTTGGGGTTGCAGTGAAAGATGAAACAAAAAACTTTTATTTTCCTTGTGCCGATGTTTCGGCCAAAGTTTTAGGCCTTCATTAAGATAAGAGAAAAAAAAATCTGGTGCGCGAATCACATGACTTATACTTACCACCCTCTTGTTAGCAGAAGTAAGTATTTTCATACAAAGCAGAAGTGAAAGTAGAAATTATAGACGTTATATAATTATTCTAAGTATTATTCTAAAGTGACTTGTTCCAGAATAAATAAAGCATTATATTATTATTATTATATTTATTTACATTTCATTGTGAGTATTTTTATTTGTTTAAATACTCTTATATATATATATAAATTTTAATTTTTTGCTAATATTGAAAAATAGTCATTTAAACCTTGCTAGAGAACATCAATGAGAATAAAACCTAAATCATATTAAAAGCTGCTTAATAACCCACTGATATACTGTGATTAATCAAAATTGTTAAAGCCGTTTTCAAGAAAATCCATAAAAATGTGTTGAATCGATTATATAAAGTGCCACTTCCGGTTTATCGATTTTGACGAAAATGTTGCTGTAACATAGAAGGCTTATAACAAAAACCTTAAATATGCAATTTCACTTTCATACGATTTATCGTTTTTGAGCTAGACTGAGCACACACACCATTTTGAGGGGACTTGGTTATTTGGACTCAGGATACCTCAAAACATGTATTTCTGTTGAACACTCAGATTCGAAAATTTTCACGATCGCAATACTTACCCTTACTATATATTGCATATAAGTGAAAGTAAAAATAAGAAAGAGAAAGCAAATATATTAATAAGAAGATGAAGTGGTAAGAAAAATGGTATACAGAGAGGTGAATCAAAATTATGTTGCAAGATAAATTAAGATATACGAGTACTGTACATAATAGCAAGGCATGAAATTTAATGAAAAATATTAAGATCTGTATTGGATAAAACACATAGTTTTCAGCACCCCCTCCCACAGTTTTTGGCACCCATTGGCCATTATTTAAGCTTTTGGAATGACCTAGAACTGTTGAAAAAGACTCATTCGAAGCATGAAACTGTTCTGCATAAGCTTATAATTGCATATTTCACCATTTATCTTGTAGTTAAAACAAGCTCTTAATGTAAAGTTACCAACTGGCATAACCCAAAATGGGCATGCCTTACACGTTTTTGTGACGAAACACACATTTTTGTTTTTAAGAAATTTAGATCTTATGTTTTATTTTATTTATTCTTTTTGTTTTCAGGGAAGAACCCCATACAAATAGAGTCAATCTCTATATTATAAACATTATTACCTTTATTGTATTACAATATTTATTTTTTCCTTTTTATGCTACATTATAAAAATTACAAAAATCTAAAGAATAACTTAAAAATCACATTTATTAAAAAGTCAGACAGTTAAAAAATTCCAATTATCAACATGAGTATAAAATCTAAATTTATCAATATAACACATAAACAACAATAAATAAATGTTCTTTAAATATTAATATCAAATCATATATTAAATTAAATTACCAGATTAATCATATAAACAAAAAAACAAACGAGAAGACCCAAACAAATCCGTTCAACATTTATCGTAACCCATGCCGACATCTAATCTACATTTTTACTACAATATTCAGAGGACCATATTTTAGATTACCCCACCAATTTTCTATAATTAGATATATTAGAGATGAAAAAATATAATTTTCTCTTATCTTCTATAGCGGTTGGCTTAAATATTTTGATCCCATTAAGATTTCCCATACCATGGTAAGTTCTTATTCTCAAATTATTATATATTTGGCATTTAAATAATAAATAATAAAGTGTCTTTTAAAGGTTTAATGTTGACTGAAATTTTAATCAAGTATATTCCTGAGAGGCGGATCTGCATTAATACTCAGGTATATTTGAAATTAGCTGGCATCAACAGATACAGGGAGATCCTACCATTGTTAAAAAATAGGTACAAATGTTCACTGTAAGCTGAGCTACGCAATGCTTTCTTGTCACCCTCCTGCAAATGTCGTTCATATTTGTTCAATATCCTGTTAATATTAGCTCTAATTATGACTAGGTAGGTTTCATGAACTAAATTGCCTTCCTCTATATTATCTAACGATACTTTCAGCTGAGCACACTAATTATATTTCGAAAGAACAGGATTAGATTGGTAACTTTTGGTTCTTAGATTTCCAAAACATATTTTAGGATATCTAAATTCCACCATTTCCACACGCCTAACCAACCAATCCAAGGAATACTTCATAACATTGAAACCAATATGAATAGAACCTGTTTCTAAGCGTATTAAAAAGCCTGGGGTGGATTTACAAAGAGAAAATGTCTTCTTATAAAAATTTATGTTGATCTTTTCTAACAGGTCAATGTATCGGAGACTCCATAAATTAGCACAATATAGCAAAGCTGCCTCAAAAGTATTAATGATGCCTTTTTTCAACTTTTCTCTTGCCTTCCATGAGTTTGTTTTGGCTTTTGAACAAATGGTTAGTATACTGCCCATTGTCGAGTTTGACTTTGAGATTGCTCTCTTAACTGCTTGCAAAAACAAACCAGATCTACAGAAATGGATACCTAAGTAATTGTATGTGCTGACTGTATCAATCATTATATATTATATAGATATTATATTTCTTTGGACACCCCCTGACAAAATCCAAAATTTTAGTTTTATTAATGTTAATGATTAGTTTATTCTCTAAGCAATATTCATTTAGATCATTAATTTTTTTACTAGGTCGGTATAGGAATCGGCAAAAATAGCCATGTCATCTGTAAACAAGAGAAACAATATGTCGACGCATCTGTCAATGGGTATACCTGACAGGTTACACCAGCTGAAGTATGTCTCGATATCCGATTAGAAGATATTAAACAGCATAAGACTCAGTCTCTCTCCTTGTAGTACACCTTCAGTAATTTTCATCTCCTCCAGCGGTTCCTTTTATTTGTGTATACCCATTAACTTACATGTTTCTCAGAACTCGAATTATTTTCCAATTCAAACCTATAGAAAAAGTTTGTGTAATTGACGAAAGTCAACAAAAAAAAAAAAACGAAAAGATTGGACTATTCTCTTAAAAATTGGTTTAGGAAAACAGCATTCAAGATGAAAACGTTATTCAAACAGCTTTTCCTGTTTCTGAATCCTGATTGGCATTCCGGTATAATTCCTCTTCCTTCGACCCATAAAGTGATTTGTTTCAGCAGGATTTGGGTAACAATTTTCAAAGCACAGTTTGCCATAGATATATGCGGTAATTAAGTGGATTTCCTCGATCCCCTTTTTTAAATATCATTACACTCAAATTTTCAGCCAATGATTTTGGCACCTCCTCTTCGTTCGATGTTTATTGAATAAATTCTGTAAATACATACATACAGAACCAATTTGAGAGTAATTCTTGTATATTTTATGTGAGACACCATTAAGCCCTGGGGTTTAGCCATTTTTTGCTAAAAGCCGCATATGTATATGAACATAATATTGTTTGAGTCTGTATTATATGAAGTTCATGTTAAGTATGGAAGCTTTTTGAAATCTTTCGGGTGAGCTCAGGCAAACTCGTATTCCCTTGATTCCTCTATTACAACTATTATCATGAGTGATAAATATTCAGGACGCAGTCTTTTTTTAAAAAAAATTTTAATTTTTTATTTATGCCAATGTTTCAACCCAAATATGAGGTCATCTTCAGGGCTTGGTTTGAACACTGAGGATGATCAAGTACTGCTGTTCAGAGTACTGCAGTTTTTGAGAAAATCTATTATATAAAGTACCACTTCAGGTTTGCCGAAAAAGTTGCTGTAACATCAAAAGCTTATAAAAACCTTAAATA